TTGGATGGCTTTTGGCCAAAAGCCGTCATCTCCATAAATATGGTGAGCTGTATCATCAATACGGAGCTGATGTCATTACTGTAAAACTTGAGGTCATGGAGGTAAGAAAAATATTTTGTAGGTGAGCTATGTCACAATGGATCAATGTCAGTATTTCAGTAACTGCCCACCCTACCCCTCCCTTAACCCAACAACAGTGAACTGATAATAAGTTAGGGATAATTTTGGGTTAGGAGAGGGGTAGGTGCATAGGTGTTCAGATACTGGCATTGTTCCGTTACAATACTACGAGTCATTTCTTTGGGCACAGAAAATTGGCTCCTACGAAAATGACACCCTAAAATAATTGGTTTTTGGAACAGAAAAACGTATAGCTAGATGTCAGTAATGTTATTCAGTTGAAGCCCACATAATAGACGGAGTTCTTTTGTAATATAGGGTACAGATTAAATTGGCTTGCGCAAAGAGCAATCATGTACTGCGCGCCTTGCTTGAGATGTGAACGCGCCAATGCCGCGCGCGAGGGAAAGATAGAGGAGGGGCTTCTCGCTTAGGCTCGCAGGGGAAGCAACTAGGCATCGATTTAAGGAGCTAGGTCTCTGTATTCTGTCTCGATAAGCACTTTCTTGATAATGAATCTTTCCGCAGTGCCATATTTAAGATTTTGGGCACGATTTCTAGATCTTCCTGACCCACCGCGCAGTAGATAACAAAGCCACAGAATCAAGGAAGAATTAGCTCTAAACTAAACCAGTTTTGATTTATAAACCCTTTTGTTGCAGATTCTCCGGCCTAAAAAAGCGGAACAAGTAGCCACCAAAGTGTTGAACAAGCTAATATCTGACGAAAACAAACATAGGCCTGTGGTAATCCATGGCTTTTCAGTTGGAGGCTATCTTTATAGCCACGTTCTCAACTTAATGGTAAAGCAAGACAGGTTCTCGTCGGTGAAGGAAAGAATCCGCGGACAAGTGCTCGACAGCCCGGTGGATTTCCACGGGATTCCTTACGGTGTTTCCAACGCAGCCTCCGAAAATCCCTTCGTTCGTTGGTTGATGAAATCGTCCATTGAGGCGTACTTGGCGATCTTTGCAAGATACACGACCAAAGTTTACTTGGCGCATTCACACTTATTCCACAACAACCCCGTCCGTTCACCGGCCTTGTTTTTCTTCTCTAAGGACGACAAAGTCGCTGATGTGGACACGTGCCAAGCATGCGCAGATTACTGGAAGAATGAACTGAACATGACTGTGAGTCAGCAATGTTTCGAGAGTTCACCGCATGTTTCTCACTTTTACGTCCACAACAAGGAATATACTGAGGCGGTGAAGAAATTTCTCAGGGATCTAAATATACCAGTTGTGACCCTTTAGAGTTATGGGACCTGTAGCTTCGTGCTTTTGATTTCATATCCCTTGAACGATTACGAAAAAAGGGGATATGTCACATGGAGCTCTTTCTACAGTATGGATCCGATTAGGGAGAAAAGGCTTGGCCTAGGTATTAAACCTCGGTGACATCTTGTAATTTGACACGAACGAAATAAGCGAATGTACAGCTTATCTATAGCCTAACTGAGATCTAATGATTTGTCAGAGGGATGTATTCGCCCCAGTCTTGTCACGTTGGTGGACGTTTATTCTCAAAACTATTTAGCTGATGATGAAATAAATACTATATGACTGTGCTAAACGCCATTTTATTTATTTGTTCCTCGCAATCCCCACTTTGAATTAGCTAATAGTGAAAGATAGTTGGTCTTGATCAGAGACCGCGCAGATGGAGGGGCTGAGGGGGGAACTTTAGCCCCCCACTTCAAAAAAAAAAAAAACTCGTACTGCTAAGAATGCCCCCATCCCCACTGCTGTTTAAGCTGAAACTTATGCGTTCGTCTTTAGTCCCTACTCAAATATCTTCTGCGCGGGCCTTGATGATAGAGTTTACGAGGGCATTATTTAAGAAATTAACTTGATTTCAAGTTAGGAGCTTTGTATTCGGAAATTAGAGAGGATATTATACAGTTTAAATAAAGTTGTAGGGAGATTTAAACACAATACTACACCATGGGGAAGAAAGGTTAAGTTTTGACTCAAACCACTGTACATCTCCTTTCAGAATCCGGTGTGAAACAATTATTTTGTGTTACCGTGGCAACTCGCTTTATGAGCGAAGTATTTGCAATTAGGTTCCACAAATTATTATCATTTTAATGATTAAATATTGTGACAAAAGGCTGCTAGTCGTGGTGAGGTACAATATTAACAAAGTCTTTTCTTGCCTCATATGGTCAACTTTCATAAAAATTGTTTCATATGAACAAGAGATTGCGAACAGTTTATACTCTCTTGATATGGATGATTCATTCGCATTCAAGCGTTATTTTCCCACTTCGTAACGCGTGGGAGAGATTGCAATTAAGAGACTAAATAAGCCTCAGGAGACAAGAGTTGAAACTCTATTGTTATCACGTCTATTTCCTAGCACGAAAAAATAACTTGTTTCGAAGCTACTTGAAACTCACTCTATCTCTCTTCAATTTTAAACCGATAAGGGAAATTTTCCCTTCACAATCCCGTACAACTGGGCCTAAATTTTAGCCTGCGTTGATATTAACACTTCCGGATCTCAGGCTTTTAATCATTTTCTGATTTTTCTTATTCTTTTCCCACTCCTCCAGTTTCCATTCCTTACTGTAATATCACCCTCTTACTTAGCGAGTATTTTCCGATGAAGTCTTAGGGAAGGGAAAAGACACTCTCTTGTTTCAAAGCTTCGGTCGGTAGCCCAGTTCACTGATGGTTGCGGAGGTCTGCGTCCAACCATTTCCCGCCACTTTGGTACGCGCTCTTGCGCGGGGTGAAAAGCGCGGGAAATGCCAGTATCGGCACTCAGGGAGACAGAATTTATTCAGGTACGGTAAGCGTTTCTCTTTCCTTCTGTAATTAAATTTTGCAGTACTTGATGATTATCTCACCCTCAGAATAATCACAAGAAAGCCACAGACAATCTTGTTTTCTTTAGGTTGCACAGCGACAGTGAGTTTGGAAAAACTTTCCTGCTGCATAATCACAACCTTGCCTTCGTACGAGCATATATATTTCCGTCATTGACATTTAAGCCCATTATGATATTCTAAGCTAAAAATTAAAGACTTTGACGCTAAGTAGTAAACATATAGGATATTTCCGTTCATTTCTCATTCATATAGTCTAATATGGTGCTTTTTTTTCCAAGTGTTCTCGTGTACAAGTTTATTATGCCCTCCAATCCAAAGAAAGGAAAGACTAGCGCTATAAAGTGCACAGAAAATCTAAAGGAGTTTTACGAAAATGAAGACGAGTTCAAATTCTCTGAAGGTAAGCTTTAGTTTGGAATTTTTAGAAAACCATTCTATCTCGATATGCATTTGGTACAAAAAAGATTTTTTGATTTAAAAAATAACGCAATTAGTACCGACATGATTTTCAAAGCTGACTTGTCTTGATTAAATATTTTTCCTTATGGCGATCCTTGTAATTTCTTGATTGAATGTTACTGTACCACGATTTCTTTTATATAGAGTCGTGATCAACGTGATTACAATTTAAATGGACACATTTGTGAGATGGGTGCTCTTTGACACAGTCGACGTAAATATTGGGAAAACTATTCATATGATTCTCAACATGGAGCCCTCCCCCTGATTGAGAAAAATCATAAAATTCGTCCCACTTCTTTTAGTAATTGACATTTGATCTTCCTTCACCATCAGAGTGAAACCCTGTGCAACGAAAAAAAGTTGCTTAAGCAGTTAGTAAGGTATGCGGCCTACTTTGGAAAAAAGAAATCTTCTCTTGTTATTTTGATTTGTGTGGGCTCCACTCTGGAGTGAGTTTTCAATGTTGAACTTTAATGACTTGAAACCATGCGAGCTTGCATTTGGATTCCTCTTGGTTCTTGGATGAATATTGCTTTTTAAAATTTGGTAAACTCACGTTTAGAATTTTGGTCCATTTGGTATGAAGAAGCTCTTGGATTTAGCTATTGAAAATTAGAAAAGCAATTCGTACGAGTTCCAAGAGGAAGCCAATCTCTTTATCCAGAGAGATATAACCACCCCTCGCCCATGCTTTCTTTAACAACAATTAATCTTCTTTGTTACAGCGAAACCTGAGCAACAGCAACAAAAACCTGCACAGGTGGTCAAGGCGAAAAAGAGACAGGCTGTTACTCCTGCTTCGGAGTTCCAAGATTCTGATCCCGAAGATGATGAATATGACAAGGGGTACGTTTATGTAAGCAGTAAAAAGAAACCTGAAATCGTCTAACTCTTCTAAACTCTCATTACCTTGAAAGAGGGCAAGTTTCTAGAGAAACTGTGGTGCTGCGTCGGTGGGAGAGTATAACAGGATAATTTAGTGTTATTATTTGAGTTGATAACGTAAATTGCCACCGTAAAGAGTTTAAAGGCTGACGTTTCGAGCGTTGGCCCTTCGTCAGAGCGATTGGAGAAATTGTGGGCTGTGTGTGGGTTTATATGAAGGAAATGGAGGAACGCTATTAGTGGGAATATAGTGACGAGAAAACAAGAATAAATTAGTTGAATGAAAAGCGGTCGTTGATATTATGGGGATTAAGAGTGCCGATTTGGAAGATAAATTTTTGTTCTAGAGTTTTGCGGCTTTCCGAACTGCCTAGATGTAGGGAAAGGCCGCAAGCTGCCATATGCTGCTTAGAATGATTGGGGATTTTGACCCTAGTGGCCGATTTAGGATTTTGGACGCTAGCGACCGACTTAGGATTTTGGACACTAGTGGCCGAGTTTGGATTTTGGACCTCAGTGACCGATTTAGGATTTTGGACACTGGCCGAGTTTGGATTTTGGACACTAGTGACCAATTTTGGATTTAGGACACTAGCGGCCGATTTAGGATTTTGGACACCAGTGGCCGATTGTGGATTTTGGACCCTATTGGCCGATTCTGGCCTAGTGGCCGATTTTGGATTTTTGACATTAAGGGCCGACTTTAATCTCCAAGGTATCAACCGTGTGCTTTTAATTCAACTAATCTATTCTTGTCTTCTCGTCTCCATGTTCCCACCGATAGCATAGCTCCATTTTCTGCATATAAACCAACACTCTCCTTACGTTTAGGTATGATCTAAACGGTACCTAGTCTACCTCCAAGGCCTGTCATTTATGTCTCATTTTTTAGCAATGGTGCCAAAACAGTTCATTACAGTACTGCAGTTTACAATCCATAATGTAGGGGCGAATTGGAGGTTGATCGGTATGTTACACAAGGTCTTTATTTCTATTACTGTTCCTGTCGTTGTTTCTTCTCTTACAGCGGAAGTGATCTTGAGATGCAAGGAATGCTGAACAGTTTTGGAGGTCAGAAACAATTTTTTTCACTACACTCAGGTACTGAAATGAACTAGTTAAGCAAAAGCGTTGACATAAAGCTCTTGGAGTTTTGCTTTTAGCTGACATAACAAAGACGTTGACAGCCAAACGTAAGAGAATTCAAACCTTCACGCAAGCCTCAATGAAGGCAAGCACTCGAAAGTTTGACGAGGTGTGGCAGTCACAGCAACACGAAAGGTAAAAAAAACATACATATATATCATTATCACATCTCCATAGCTTTCTATATATTATAGGTCGCGAAAATGAAGATTGGGTAAACATTTGTGTGCCTAGTTGCCAAGGTCATTTTTTAGACAATTTTTACTTTTTATTAGAGGCACTCATTATGATGAATTCAGCAAACAGGTCATGAATGTGCTCAACCAGTGGGAAACAGATTTGCAAAAAACAAGAGAAGCAGAAGAGAAATTAGAGGTATTGAACAATTGACTAGCAATGTTTGACAGGCTTATATTTTAGCCTGTCAAACTTTATGAATATTTTAGCTAATTTTTTTCAGTCAGTCAGACCGTCATTCTACCACTGCACCCATTCATCAAGTCACCAGATCGTTAAAAAAGGGTCATTTAGTCAGCCAAGCAGAGGCTACAACTAATATGCTTATTTCATTTATACAGAATCTGTACAAACAGCAACAAAAGCTGTTTCAACAACAACGCATTGTGCAGAGTCAAAGACTCAAACGGGTACGCCAGCTTCATGAAGAACATACTAAGAACTTACAACAAATGCAGAAAAATCACCAAGCCCAACACGTTAGTGTCCAGGAGCAACTTCGCAAGGAGATTAACGTCTTGCAAAAAAAGATTCTAATGGATACGGTATGGTGATTTAAACTGTCTTTGACGCTGAAGAGTGTAACTTAATTAGGGAAATGTCAGGGATTACATATCAAATTAAGCTAAGTATTAATGGCAGCAAATGAAGCTCTTTTTTCCAGTTGATCAACAACTTCTAACAGGCTCTTCTTGTATTCTTGCCTTCAGCAACAACAGGACTTTTCAAGTGTTCGAAGGTCTCTTCAAAGCATGTTGGCGCAAGTATAGATTTCAGCACGCCAGAAATTTTTATGCCAAAGAATGTGGAATTTTGTACTTGAATATTATTCTACCTGCCAGAGAACATTTTGTCCCCTTGGATTATTATCCTTTTAAAATAATAGGATGGGAATTTTTAGAGGAAGTTATCTATATGATTTTATGATGCTACATATTATTTCTGACCCGTAAGGTCTATGATAAATGTTGTTTATTTATTGCCAACATGATTTCATTTTACCAAGTTGTTATAGAAAGTACTCTTGTTGAAATAAAAAATGTTATACCTATATACAAATATTTCCGGGAAGCAGGTTTAAGATCAGAATAAAATATTGCAAATACAACGTAGTTCCTTTGTCCTAATTAATCATATAGTTTGCGAAAAAATGAAGTATCATCTGCTATTTCCATCAACACAGATGTAATCCAAACATCACCAATAAGAAAGGTTCTTTACATTTCTATGGTTTCATGATGAAAATATGTACAAACCAACACAAAACAATTACTTCATTATAAACGTAATGCATAAGCACCAAGCAATGAAATAATTTAGATGAACACTGAAATGCCTCAAATACTGGTAGGGAACTGTACAACACAGCAAGGAACAAACAATAGTATTACCAAATTAATTGAAATCCATGCATCTCAGCATAATTATGAATATTTTTAAGAGTATGTGATGATTTTTGTTGCATTTAGCAGCTGATATACACCGTCAATAAATAAAAAGTGAGAGGCTTTCACCCTCTGTTGTGCCTCTTCTGAAGCTCCATCCAGCACCATATGGTAAAGATCAGAATGAAGCTACAAAACAAAATGGTCAAAATGAAGTTAGAGAGAGCTAATCCAGTGCATGAGAGTGCATCTTGTTGGACTAATGTTGAAATGTGCATAACTTGTCCAGCAAACATGCACCAAAAATTTGCTTAAAAAAAAAAAAA